TTTTTTTGTGTGTGAGAAAAACAACTTTGTATGCCCTGTCCCCCCAATTCCCAGCATGAATTTCTTAGATAATCTATACTTACTTGAAATATTACTGGCAATAAAGAAAAAGTATGTACACATACAGAATGTGTCAGAATTTCTTTGTGTTGCTCTTTCCAGGCCATTTAACACATTTTGACAAGAACATTGTGGGCGCAGCCTCCACACTGGGTCTTCTTTCTCACACTGGTGCAGTGTTGGCTAACCTCGGGGCAGGTACACTTTATCATGAGAGTTAAAATTAAAGCAGCATGCTTGGTCATGTCGTGCTCCTGTCTCAAATAATATTTTTGAAAGTCACAGATTTTGTCTATCGTATCTAAAGTTCAAAAAGCCTATTTGCTTATTATGAAGAAAGGACAGAGGAAGAGAAAAACAGCCATATGCGAAAGAAGTTCTGGTCCTCTGGATTTTTATGAGACAGGCTATAATATTCCACAAAGATGTCTGCACTTGCTCTCGGCCCTGTGATGGCTGCAATCACAGAAGTATGCCAGAGGCTGCACCTAGCAGGGCTAAGGCCTGTAGCACAGCACCCTCCACGCCCACTCACACATGTGCTCATCCATGCTCAAAGCCATCTGCACTTAGTAGCACAAGCCGGGACCAGGCCTTTGCCCTGGGGGCTGACTATCTAGCAACGAAATCCATTTACTGAGTTTTCTAACCAAAATAACGCTTTCTCATTCAGGAGATGCACGCCTGCATCTGCTCCCTATTTGGCATGCGTCCCCCTCTGACTCACTTCACAGCTTTGGGTTAGCAAATGCATTGGGTGAAACAGTGAAGCTGTACAGCCTGAAACAGTGGGAAGTGCTAATTGTCAGCACGTAGCCCAGTGCTGAGTTTATGACAGAGAGAAAGGTGGGGTCTGATACTACAGGCATTCGGGACGGGCTCTTTCTGAGAGCGCCGCGATTCTGTTTCGAATAGACACGTTTCTTTCCTCTACATGGGATCAAGAGAATTTATGTCCTCAGGGTTCAAATCAAATTCACTGAGAACAAGGTATTGATTAGGCCCTGTGTTACACTGTGCTTTAAAAGTTATGGAAAATGTGATATTTAAAAATAAAATCATGACCATCAAGCAATTACTCCTTTTTAGATGAGATTGGCTGCCTGCAGGGTGCTCTGACTATACAGAATTACTCCTTTTTTGAAAAAAGATTTGTAGTCAGGAGAGAGACCAGATCCCAAGGCCCATATTTTGCCCCAACTGACTGATCTTTTTTTTTAAAAAATTATATGTCAACAAAACAAATCAAAACAAAACAAAACTAAAATTGGCATTCTCAAAGGCAAACTTGGGTAGAGTAGCAAATAATAATACACCCATTTCTACTTGTTCTCAAATTCACCCCTTTAATCTTTTATTTATGTGATTCAGGGCCTCACGAAACAGATCAGACTCATAGTGATCCTCCTATCTCAGTTTCCCCAGCACTGGGATTACAGGCATGTGCCACTGTGTTCGGTTTCGGTGGCCGGCATGCCATGTGGTAGGGGGATTGAACCTGGGGCCTTATGCTTGCTAAGCAGGTGTTTAGACCAGCAAGCTATCTGCCCAGGCTTCACCCCCTTTAAAACAAAGACAAACTAAATGCAAATTTTTGTGGTCAAATGTACTTAATAAATCTAAATTGTCAGGCAATGGAGGAGGAAGGACAGAAAAGAAAGGAACAGAATGGAAGGAGGCAAAGGGAGACTCTTTGAAAGGGTCAACCTAGCTGGGAGGATGTTTCAGTGTAATCCCCAGTCCTTGCCCTCCGCCCTCTTGTGCATCCCCCTTGTGTCCTAAAATACCTCTCTTTCAAAGACAGTCCTCTCTTTCTCTTCCGTCAGCCACTGTCTGCTTCTGTCCTTTTCTTGACATCTCTCTGGTGAGCTAAGACTTCCATGAACACCTGATGTGGATGCTAAGCAAAGGAGTGCACTTCCTGGATCTGGACTCACCTGTGCAGACCGATTCCTTGCCCCACCCTTCCTCAAGGGCACTCAAGCAAAGCACACTGGGAAAACAAATGCAAGGAGCTAATCTGTAATACCAAAGGCTCTAGTCACTCTCTGTATTTCATTATTTTAAAGTGGAGCATTGCCTTAGATCATTTTATCTTGTGTTTTAAAACTTAAGGTATGTGCAAAAGGGCAAAAGAAAACAAAGAGAACAAAGCATATGATTGTACAGAAATAACTTAAAATGAGTAAGTTTTACCCATATGAGTTCTCAAAAGCTCAGAGTGTTGAGGACAGAGATGGTGGGACAGCAAAGAGGAAAGCCCTGTTTGCAGGGCCATCCACAGACCGGAAGTGGACATCCTGGGCTGCGGGAGTGTGTAACACATTTCTGTATTTTTAAAAGCACAGAAATGATCAAATCCCCAATGATACAGCGTTCCTTGTCCAGGAATCTGTTTTGGAAGCCAATGCAATGATTACTACTCGGCCATGGAATTTTGATATCCAGTTGGTCCTGATTTGCACCAGTATTTTTAAGGCTGCCAACAAGCAAGTCCAGAATTTCAGGCAGCCAAAATTCCACAAGAGACAACTGTCTTTTATTTTATAGCTTATGAATTTGAGGCTTTAATGTGATTTTCCACTAACAAGTTCTGTACCCCCTCCAGAGTGCTAAAGCTGGTGTAGAGATCAGCGAAGTAACACAGAACATATGAGGCAAGTTAATATTAAAATTGAAGGGAAACTGTACAAATTGTATTGTTTACTTTGGGAAAAAGTACTCTAGTTGAAAGGGCTGACGTATGATTTATTACAAACACTTGACCAGCGTGTTCACATTTTTCATCTCACCCCCGCTGTGGCAATTGGTTGATGTCGTGGTGGTGGCAGATCCAATATCACTAAAGCCATCAATTAAAAGACTGCTAAATATTGGCAAGGCATTCTAAGTGTGCACATCACATCTTCCTTTTTCACAAAATCACTAACAAAAGTACAGAGTCACATTCAATCATCAATCACAGGCAAGTGATTTAAAAAAGCAATAGACAGCTTTCTAAAGCATAAGGAAATTAAGAACCCATTTAATTAGAAAGAAAATTATAAGCAGTTTCCAGAATTAGCTCTCTTGCAAAATAAGACTTTCACACAAAATTAGAAAAAATAGTACAGAATTTCTTCTTCTGCTCAAAGCAATCTTTCAAAAATAGTCAAAGAGATAATAAATATTGGGACAATCAAGTAACTAGGAGGATTTTTTTTATATAAATGTCATGAAATATTCTTCCCCAAATCTCATGAAGAGCAGTTATGACTCCATACTGTAATATTTAAATGTTCTACATCTAAATAACTTATCATACAATGCAAGGCTTGCCCCCAAACCTTTCTGTTTCATACATTTATTAATATGGTTTTATACGCAGTCATCAGTTTGGGTCAAGGAAGCTATATAGCAATAGATTATATTAGCACAGGAACCACAGAAGTATTTCTCTACTAAGCTAGGTACCAAGCACCGCACCTGCAGTGTTTCTAAGGCAGGGGAAATTGCCTCAGAATTTCACAGATGAGGCTTGGGGCGTGGGGACTGAGGAAACTGTCTTAGAACAGAGAAGCCCAGCCTTACTCATAAAAAAATCCAACAGATGCCTTGGGGAGTCCCCACCTGACTTCCTAAGCCATGCTCTGAAGTCTGGCCGCAGTGCTGCAGGGGCAGAAGGCGGCTGGAATGCCCACTGATACCCTCTATGGGTGGGGCAGCGTCTCCCAAGCACAGCCAGGATCCTCGGAGGACAGGGCGCTGCCTGTAAGCTCTACGCCACCCCTCTGGGGTTCTGATCCTGGAACTTACGCAGCAGCTGGCTTTGTGACACTGCCAGACTACTCACCCAGTGGCAGTGGGAGCCAAACACGAGCATGAGCAGATGGAACAAGGACTGCCATTTTTAAAGTTTAGAGTAGAAACATTTCTATTACAAAAAAAATCATTTGAAAATAGATTGTTAAATTGCTCTGTGAAATTTCTAATTAGCTAAATAACACAATCATATCTATACAAAACTTTAAATGGACATGGAATGGGTAAATTATTCCATACAAAAATTTATTATACTTATAAGAAAATAAAGTGAAGAAAGTTCTATAATTTAATCCTCCAAGTCTCATGTCTGTACCTGTTCCCTGTTAGAAGAAAGAGCACTGAAAAACAACTTTCCATTTGGGCCAGTGAGATAGCTCAGTGGATTAAGAGCCTGCTTAGGCCAACGTGGGGACCAGGATTGGAGCTGCTGCAGCACATGCTGTGTGGGCCCTGCCCCCAGGTGTGCTGAGCCAGCTACTGGATGCCTGTAATCCCAGCACGGGGGAGGCTGACAGCAGGAGGATCACTATGAGTCCGAGCTGTGTAGTGAGACAACGTTAAAAAACAAAAACAAACACAAAACATCCGTGTTTCTATTTGCAGAAAAAGGGCAAGAAAGATACTGTGGTCGAGCTGGTGACGAAGCACGTAACTTAGTACTATTGATGACACAGTTCCCTTATCAAGAACATGCAGTTCCAGTTCATGTAATTAAAAACAATCATCTTGCTTCACAGAGTAATGATAAATTTTACTCTTATTTTCTTCTTAAGCTTCCCAAAGACAACAATTTGAAAACCTAATTACCCCTAAATTCCACAGGTGTGACACAAAGAACGTAGGGAGATGCATTTGTAAATACCCAAACAGTAGACTTCTACTTTGTCTCTTTCTTTGTTTCTTTGTTC